AATGCAAGCAGAGGGTTCGTGGTGGACAATTTTCAGATAAAATTAATATGCAAGTAAACATGTAGGTCTCTTACAAGAACCTAAAAATCAATGTGCAATGAACATCAATGAACCATAAAGGGACAAATGGTGGATAATAAAATGGCATGGGAAATGAATATCAAACTTTAAGCATTGGTATGAGACCTCTGATGAATAGGATAACTCACTTGTAAACAAATAGCAGTTGATGCTCCCACAATCAACTTATAGGTAAGATGAGATGAATGCAATGAATGTAGAAGCATATTCAACATAAAGGTGGCAGCAGAAGGACATGAGATGATATGCTTACGAGTAAAGCATGGAGGGTGTGGAATGAGTGTAGCACCATTCCTACAATCAACACTAATCACCATACAAATAAATATACTACTATCCGATGAACACTAAAAGTTGATACGCATGAAAATGCACCAACTATCCAACCCACAAGCATAGGAAAATCTACGATGAATACAAATCATCTAACAATAAATGTTGACATGCAAATGGACACACTGATTTGTCTGCAAGCAATGATAGAAGATATGTTGCAATCATGATGTACTCCCTATAAATATAAGATGGAATACAATATGCTACAAGCATGATTAGAAAACATGCAATAAGTTTGAGTACCTACAAGCAATGTAGGAGGTTATCACATTGAATACAATTCAGTAGCTAGCATACGATAGTGGGTGACTTCTGGATATCCTACAAATTCATGATGTGCAATAGCTCCCTCATAAGAGGCAACAAATGACCTATTGCGCAACACTACAATTCACTTATAAGCAAAAGCAAATAATTCATAGTAAAAATTATAGGCTATTGATAAATTGAGATAGTAAACCTGTAGAACCAAGCTATCACACTAGATATCAGCTTACAGTAATTGACGGGTATAAGGCATTTGACGCACTACACAGCTTGTTTGTAGGTTAAAATATACCATCAAGGGATGAATATTGAAGAAAATAATAACTAGCAAAAGATGAAATGAAACCCAACGTGCTATTAAATAATGCCACTAGATATGTAATACTCATGCAACCAAACATATGGTATTTTCAAATGTCAAAACAAAATTCTAGGCACTCTTCAACAATAGTCGCTTGCTTAGTTAAATATAACTAAATATTACATGAAAATCACTTATGCATTAAAATATGATTACCCATATGGGCCCCGACAAGCGTGTTGTATACACACATGTGATATATGAGGATATTGTATGTGTCAAGAAATGAACATAAGTTTGAGCCCAATCCTTCTTTGTGAATAAATAGGAGTTGACATGGCTTAAACCATTAAACAAATATACTATTGTACCTCCTACTGTGATATTTATTTTATATGTTTATATAAGGTTTTCAAGGTCCATTACAAGAAAAATTCAGTAATAAAGACTTGAAGCTGATGATGAACCTAGTCCTCCATCAGCAAGCTAATAGAGTTGATAAAGTTCAATAGATAAAAATTAAATCACCCAAAGGATACATCATGATAACTATGTTGAATGTTTATCTCAATCAGAGGGGACCTTCTAATATTTAAAATGCCTCCCAAATTCCCAAGAAAATTCAAAACTAAAAAATTCATCAACACCTAAATATCTAAAAATTGAAATAAATCACTAAAATACTTAAACAAAATATCCATCCACCCTCCACAATAGTTTGTCGAGGTGGAAATTTTTGAAAATCACTTCAACTTGTAAAGAGAAAATGTCTTGTTAAGAATATCACTATGATTCATTATCAAATTATCTCTTTATAGTAAAGATGTGGCACGTGTCTTCTAACCTTTGATTTTGTTGTCAAATGACACCATAAGTAAACGGTTATGATCGGGACACTCTGACAGGGTAGTTTTCCACTAAAAGGCACCATTATATTATGGTTATGGTTAGATCATATATGTTTCCCAATGACTCTAAATCTTTGAGTAATAAATCAATAGGATTTGATAGATAGGACACAAGTTTCTTTGTTAGCTAAGATGGATTCAAATTTCTCCCATTAGATAAATATCCACCCTTTGTCTACAAGGTACCCTTGGATGAAGCAACTCATGGCAGCCAACAAGAATTCTTCTATTGGGTTGGGTCGTTTACCTCCTTCGACTAAGCAGACCAATGACCATGATGGCCCGGGACGACGAAACCATGAGATCTATATCGGGTTCATCATCATTTCCCCCACCATATTTTTTAAGTGCAAGGTGGTAAATTTCTAATTTTAAATATTAAATTTTCAAATATCAAATTATACTACTACTATATGCTTGGTACTACATATTTATTTGATGACTAGTATTAATCAAAAGTTTTCTCTCGTTATTGGAAGGGATAATTAATTAGGGGGGCTTGCACCTATAGAAACACTAAACTCATATTATAAAGTCCTTATGAAATGAGGGAAAAATCTCTAGGTGAAGTCTTATTTCAAAACCCAATATGCCTTCTAAAAATTTGCCTCATAACTTAAACATTAAAACTCTCCTCGACGACCTAAAAAAAGAAAAAAAGAAGGGGCTACAGAGAGGCTAGGGCGCGAATTTTGGAGCCCACATATATGTGTGATTTATTACAATAATATACTTATATGTTGGAGTTTATTTGTTAATGTTCAAGTATCATGGACATGCTTTTCTAATCAAAATAAATTGTTTTTCTTCTCTTATTAAAAACTCTAAAATAAAATTATATTATTGCAATAATAGTTGTGCATAAAGCATTGAAATTGTATTGATGACTCTTTTGAATTATAATATAGGATAAGTTGAATATAAGCATGTTATGAGATCATAGTAAAAAAGAATTTCATGCTACATATTCATACATGACTCATGCCACTATTTGCATTGATATAATATCCATTGATGGTATCCCTTTTGAAAAAAATTATGACAATGGCAAAAAATGTTACTATATGATGATAGAAAATATTTAGCTCTTAATAATGTAAAATTATCAAGGGATAAATGATGTCAAGAGATTATAAAAAATTTGACTGTGGGATTACATATTTAAATTAATTATACGTTACATACTATCAAAAAATTTACGCCTATTCAATTATGATAAATTAGGGATTAGTATTATGTTTTTGATGTATCTCCTTAATTAGTATCTAATCTATAATATGTAGATATCAAATATTTAGTTTAATTTTTTATGATGTATCAAGATAAAGTCTCCCATAGGTGAAAGCCCAAATGCTTAATTACCTCTTCCAGTGATAGGAGAGCACTTTTAATTAAAGCTAGTCATTGAGTAGGTATTGAGTGCCTAGCATATAGTAACAATAAATTTTCTAACCACCTTTTCATTTAAAGTGCATTGTAGGGGAGTGATGATGAATCCGATCAAAATCCAATGGTTCCATTGTTCGAGATTGTCCTGGTTCCTAGTCTAATTAAGTAGATGTAATCAACCCAACAAAATTAAATGATCCTTTTTTACAAGTATGGGTTATTTATACAAGAGTACCATATAGACCTAGGGTATGTTTATTTAAGGGATAAATTCAAGCCCATCTTAATTAATAGAGGGTTTTAATCCCTACCAAGTCTACCCTATGATTTATTACTTAAGGGTATTAACTATTGGAAAATATATGGCTCTAGTCAAGACTGTAATATATGAGTTCCTATATGTAGCAAAACCACCAAGTCAGAGGGCCTCAATCATAACCATTTACCTTTGTGGAGTTACATGGCCAAACCACTAGTCCTATGGAGTTGTGGGGTCAAATCACCAATTAAATGACACATGCTTTGTTCTTACTAACAAGAGATGGTTTTAGAATGAATCTTAATGATATTCTCCATTGAAAATGCATTTTTTGTGAATTGAAGTTATTCTTAAATTCATTACATTCACCAAACGATTAGGAATGGTGAATGAATTTTGTTTTAAATTATAAGTGATTAATTTCACTTTAAATATTTAAATTTAATATCTTTGAAATCTTAAAATTTTGATAATTTTTAGACCCCTTCAATTGAGATTCATTTTCAACACAGTCATCATCAAAATGACGTTGATGACATTTAAAATGTTTATATTTGCTCGCAAGGATTTGATATTTAAAAACAGACCTCTACAACTAAGATTTTAACACAATTTGTATTTTTTTATTTGAACTTTGTCAATTATTTTTGCCTACTAACAGAGAATTAGGTTCAACTATTGATCTCATGAATTATTATATGAATGTTTAAACTGAAAACTTAAATTTTTATAATGAATAACCTTTAAAAGGCTTTGAAAGACGAACATTTTCTTAAAATTAAATATCTTGGTAGATATTATGATCATGTGTTTGCTTATTAATTCAAGTCACGTAGTCACGTCAACTTTAGTTCTTTCGAGTATGAGGTGTGAATGCTTTTTATGCGTTTGCATTATATAGTTGAACACTGTCTAGTGCACTTACATAGTGCATACACATGTTTTCAATGTATTGGCATATTTTTTGGTTCGCTAACGCAATCCATTTGCACACATTTTGATACACTTGCATGGCGTACTCATCAAGATATTGCTCGCACGCTTTTTAATGCACTCACGAGATACACTTAAATTCATTTTAGTGCTTTTATATAGCTTGTTTGCACTTTTTGAATTTGATTGTGCTCTCGATGCATCTGCACGCATTCAATTTGCTTTAAGTTTCTCATTTATAAAATGATTGCACGTATCTTGGTGCGATTACATGTTTTTTAAGGCTTCATCTGGGAGTACTTTCTTATTGCTTCTTAAAACAATTTTTTAGTATAAAAATTTTAATTTTTAAACTAGAAAGTCATTTTAAGAAACAATAAAAAAGTCGTCCCAAACCTAAGACTATCACATGCTTTTCAAGGCAATAATACATTTCCCAATATTATTTCATACTTCTCAAAGCAAAGCACTTCACTGGGTTAAAAAAAATATAAGATTTCTACAAACGAAAATGAATCAATACGCATGGGCTATGCATTATGAATCGCTTTAAATAAACTGATTTATACTTATCGCATCCCTCAATCTTTCATTTATTATTTCAGATTCTACAGACGAACAAATTTCTTATCTTATAAGCAATTTACATTTCTTACTACAGTTGTCATGGATAATACATACATGAATTCCTTGGACATTAATGCTTACGGTATCACCACTTCAGTGTCATAGCAAGTTCAAGCAGGGTTTCCACCTGGTCGATGGTCTGTTTCTTCTCTTGTAGCTTTAGCCGAGCAGCAATAGATTCAGGATCAAGACCCTGGGGCATGTTGGCTGTGTTCTCAACTTTGACTTCTTGTAGCAATTCATCAACCTCTCTTATAAAATCAACTCTCAATAACAAGTCATCAGCTTCAGCTGGCAGTCCAACATGACCTTGATGCTGGCAAAGAAGAAAATGTTCAACTAAATTGCCTAAAACTAATTCCCGTCGAAATGAGTTTCTCATTCACAAATGTATGTTTATAATAACCAGATGGCAGAGAACATAGCCGCACCAAGGGGAGATTTGGCTATACCAAGGGGAGAACATAGCCATGTTTTTATTCAAATAGAGTAGATAAAATCATGTTGGAACAAATTTAGACTTCATTTGACACAGCTTTTTTATTGCTTCTTAAAACAATTTTTTAATAAAAAATAATTTTTTAACTAAAAAGCTGTTTTAAAAAATAATTAATAAGAAAGTAGTCCTAAACTAAGTCTTAGTAAATACTGAAAACTGCTTAGAATGGTATGTTTAGTTGAGTTCAATACTAATAAAATGTTGGTATATGATTTTAAGATTTAGGTTTAAAATGAAGAAGAAGAGGAATAGTGGGGATAAGTGGTGTTAATCTCTTAATTTCAACTTCCCACGAGATCTTTTATATTCAGAATTTAACCTAAAACAGGAAGGAAAACAAAATAGCAGGGCTTGTATTTAACAAAATAGTAAAGCTTATGTGGCTCAAAAAAACTATTTTACAAGATTTAGCCTAAATCCTGGCTAAATAAATATTGCAACCAAGGATCATATGAGTGTGAGAAATTCAGAAGCACCAAAAGCATCAATATATGAATTTTCTTTTAAATGTGATTTGTGTTTTTCATGATCAAAGTAGAATTTGGTTTCAGTATTAGATAAGTAGAATTTGCTAAGCAAAAAAAAAGGATCATGAGGCCTCACATTGTTTATGTCAAAACCAGTTGGTGCAAGAATGCTAAAAGGATCTTCTTGAGGAAACGTGTCGATCATCCGTTTCCGACATTTTTTCAGCCAATCCTCCTTGTCATGGCCATCATAGAGGTTCAAGAGATCATCTAACAACCTCATGGACGCTGTAGCTTCCGCCTTTAAAATCTCTGTCTGCAAACTTAAATATGAGGAAATGACCCAAAGTTTGTAGATTCCTGCCATATAAATTTTATGATGAACAAGAAACACTATAAACATCAAAGTTCCTATAGGAAAAATTCATACCTCTACTCTCCTATACAAGAGGTCAAGGCTCCTAATGACATCCTTCTCGTCCTGAAGAAGGGTAAGGAAAATGAGAATAGAAGAAGAGAAAAGTTACATGCTATGATAAGAACCGGCATGCCAAAGAAAACATCATTTCACTCTCCCGTATGAGAGGTCGAGGATTCTAATTTATATTGAGAAGGAGCAAATACGAACAAAGAAAGAGCAAACGAAATGTAGGATACAAAGAAAAATCCACTGGTACTTACTTCAAACAGATATGTTAGCAAATGAAGATTCAATAAAACTCTGTTTGTTGTACATGTGTATAAATGGCCAAATCATAAACACAAATCTACTAATTTGTAGTTTGAAGCAACCAGAGTTGGTTGGTTAAGAATGGTCCTGGCTAGTAATTAATTGCGATAATTGGCATGATTAAGCTGAACAATCATATGGTGATACCAAAAGAAGAGTTATAATCTCCCTTCCTCCTTCCGTACTCTTGGTGCTAATAGTGGTGGCAGAAAAAACACTTACGTCACGGCGAGCAAGGTCCAGACGATTCCATATGACCATCAAAACTAGTTCTGTAAGTTGGCCTTTTTCAGCAGCAGCCTCAATTTTCTGCATGATAAATGAAAAGCTCTAAACATGAGAAAGATAATGCTTCATTTTGAATGCTATCGCAAAATATATGCGAATAAGAACACAGATAAAAAGGTTAAATAAGCATTTGTCTTTAATATCAAACATAGGAGAATAAACTCAGAAAATTGCCAAATTAGAGATGAACTTGATAGACTTTTTAAAAGAAAAAGCAACTTCATGATCGAGAAAAATCACAGGAAATAATGGTACAAGGTTACCATTAACCTGCAGCTGCTCAAAGTTTTATGTTGCTACCATAGACTTTACTTCCTATCAAAGCACTAATCACACAATAGAAATTAGGCTTAGAAAAGTATTAAAGGGTAAAGAAACTTTATGGAATCCCTTCATCTATCTATTTATGAACAGAAAGCTGGCTTCTAAGTCGCATAGTTCAAAACTACAGATGTGGGGAACATTTGAGCATATTTCCTGGAATTTGGAGTTAAAGAAATAACTGATTTATAGTTTTTCATAGAAGAATAAATCCTTACGAACTAGGATTAAGCAACAACCCATTCAAATTAATTGTTGAGAATACAGATATTTCTTATAACAGAGTCAATGCAATAGCTGCAGCAACCCACTCAAATTTTGCGAACTTTGCATTTAATAAGAAGTAAGAGTACCCATGCCCACATGATCGCTAGGAGAAAATCTAGCAAACAAAAATGTAGTTTCATGATTTCTTCATTTATGCTACTTATTTTTTTATAAGTCATTTTATTACTAGTATCAATTACTAGTATCAATTATATCAGGCCACTTCATCAAAGTGTGATTTTCTATTTCTAACGCAGGATCCTATAATATAAAGGTGAACAAATAAAATTTTTGCTTTTGCTCCACAGCCAAATAGGTCCTTATGTACTAAGTATGTCAAAATTATGTCATTTACCAAATTCCTAACCGAAAAAATAAAAAATAAAAAATATTAGAGGGATGCATTCAATTAAATGATGAAAACATTTCTTTGTTGCACATCCTAGGAGTAGGCTGTAGTGGGCTTCTCCTCCTTTGGCAAGCCTAATAATTCCAGTTGATAGCGCAAAGCAACTTCTCCCAAGCTACGAAGGTATATGGGTCTGCAACTATAAATGCATGGCACACACTGTTAACATGCTCCGGTAGTCAGCATACCACCAAATCATAACCCACTTGCGGTTATAGAGAGTTCGCACATCCTCCACGATTGGCTTAGGTGGAAGAACTGTTTTTCTAATATTTCGGTTATTCTAGTTTATACAAATGTGTTGTTCCTCTGTAATGTATGAAAACGAAATAGAAATGGTTCTGTGGCTTCCAATTCACAGTTTTCCTCTGGTTTGATTTCTCTCATTCGTCTAGCTTAGTTTACATGGTATTAGAGCGCCTTAAGCCTCACGGCTCTTCTTCTTCTTTGCTTGTCATTAGTCCAATGGAATCAGGAAATTCCTTTACAACCGAGAGCATCACTGATGCTTCTCAGCTAGTTGGCAGCACTACAATCCCGCCCCAATTGAAGTTCTTTATGTCTACTATCAAGAATGTATCACAGTTTAGCTTACTCCAGAGAATCATCTTACATGGCATTCGTAAGTCCTGAAGGTGTTCCGCACAAATGGTTTTGAAGGTTATCTGGACGGTACCGTTCGTCGCCCTCCCTGAAAAATAACTTCAGAAACCGGTCAAGTAACCCCTAACCCACTCTACTCCACCTAGATGTTAATCGATCAGAATTTAGCTACTGCCCTCTTCTCCATAGTTTCGATACCTTTGCTACCTTATGTACTTAATATGGACTTCTGCTCCAAAATTTGGGAAACGATTGATAAACGTTTACAGTCTTCAAATCGGTCCAGGATCATTCAGATTAAAAATGATCTTCATAACATTACAATGACCAATAAGACCATGCAGCAGTATTTATCTGAAATCAAATTGAAGGTAGACACTCTTACTGGTGCTGGCTATGCACTAGACACAGAGGATGTGATCATATATACATTGAATGGTTTGCCCGTCTCATATCTATCGTTTAAAACGACAATCCGTACAAATCTTCATCCGCTCAGCCTAGATGATTTTTACTCTTTATTATGTAGCGAAGAGACGAATCTAGAGAACAAAGCTGCCCGAGCTATTTATTATGTGCAAATTTCTGAAGCTCTAGTTGCTCTTGCGGCATCGTCTAGTCGAGGTTCATCTCGACAACCATTTCGATATGCTCGAGGTCGCGGGCAGTTCAACTAATCTCGCGGTGATCGGACACCTTCAACTCGCATAGAATGCTAAATATGTGACAAATATGGTCACTCGACAGTGAAGTGCTAGCATCGCACTAATCTTAATTACAATAGCAACAATTCATCTGCTTTTGTAGCTGAAACCTCTGATCAAACAAATTCATCTACCGACTGGATTTTGTACACGGGTGCAACATCTCATCTTACTAATGATGCTAATCAGCTCTTAACTTCCTAGCCATATCATGGCTTGCAGCAAATTCAAGTAGGCAATGGTCATTCGCTTCTTATTTCTCACACTGGTCAAGGAATCCTTCCAAACCCTAAGCGTAAGCTATCTCTTTCTCCTATACTTCATGTTCCTAAAGTCTCATTATTTTCGTATTGTTCACCAACTAACCTCTGACAATGGTTGTACTATCTCTTTCAATCAACATGTATACAATATAAAGGATCGGAGAACCAAACGTTCGGTTCTTTTGGGTCCGTGCCATGATGGTCTTTACGCTGTTGCAATTCCATCCAGTTTCACATCCAAAGCTCTTCTTACTACTGCCTGTTCACTTCCATGGCATTCTCGGTTGGGACATCCTCACAAGTCGTTTTATCGACTATAGCTACTCTACTTCCTTCTTTAAATATTCATGTTTCTACTGATGCATGTCATTCGTGTCAATCAGCAAAGAGTCATAGGTTATCATTTTCTTATTGTTCACCGACTAACCTCTGACAATGGTTGTACTATCTCTTTCAATCAACATGGATACAATATAAAGGATCGGAGAACCAAACGTTCAATTCTTTTGGGTCCGTGCCATGATGGTCTTTACCTGTTGCAATTCCATCGAGTTTCACATCCAAAGATCTTCTTACTACTGCCAGTTCACTTCCATGACATTCTCGGTTGGGACATCCTCACAAAGCCGTTTTATCGACTATAGCTACTCTACTTCCTTCTTTAAATATTTAAGTTTCTACTGATGTATGTCATTCTTGTCAATCAGCAAAGAGTCATAGGTTACCATTTGCTAGTTCTACTTCTACTTGAACTTCTCCCTTTCAAGTTGAAGTGTTTGATGTATGGGTTCATTCCCCAATTTTATCTTTTAATGAATATAAATATTATGTCTTATTTGTGGATGAATTTTCTCATTTCTCATGGATATATCCAATAGTTACTAAAGCTGAAGTTTTCTCTAAATTTGCTCTATTTAATGCCATGGTTGAAAAATAATTCTCTACTCATATTAAAATATTTTGTTCTGATGGAGGTGGAGAATATACAAGCTTGCAATTTCAAAATTTCCTTTCTACAAATGGTATTTTACATCAATTTAGCTGCTCAAACACACCACAACAGAATGGCCTTGCGGAGCGCAAACATCGTCACATAATTGAAACTGCTCGTACTCTGTTAATACAAGCTCATTTACATACAAGTTTTTGGGTTGAATCTGTGTTAACGGCTACCTATTTAATAAACCGTCTTCCTTCCCTCACTACAAATTCTATCTCTCCATATCAACTTTTATACAATCATCCACCATCTTATTCTCATCTTAAAATTTTTGGATGTTTGTACTATCCATGTCTTCAACCATCAACTCCACATAAATTTTCTCCTAAATCTTCAGCTTGCATTTTCATTGGATATAGCTCCAACCATAAAGGATATTGTTGCTATCACATCCTGAACCAAAAAATGCTGATCTCTCTCATGATCAGTTTCATGAGCAGGTCTTTCCTTTTATGTCATCTACACCCATGAGTTCTACATCTTCAAATTCTACTTCAAATACTATTACATCTCCTCTAACTTTAGTCCCTTATCCAACCCCTCAACTAAACTCCACTACCTCAAATAGCATTCGATCATCACCTAAATCTCCACTAATCCGAACAATTTATGTTCATCCAACGGAGTCTTCTTCTCAATCACCACCTACAGTACTAACTCCACATTTCTCCCCTCCTCCACCTACCCGACATCCTATACTCACTCGTATGCAAACAAGGAAGCTTAAAACCTAAACAATGTTAAATATTCAACATTTGCTAGTTGAGAATAATGATCTGACTTATTTTTCGGCTGCCAATAAACACCAATACTGGCGTAATGCTATGTCAGATGAGTTTCAGGCTCTACAACAACAAGGAACATGGCATATTGATGAACCGCCATCTTCTCAAACAGTTTTGGGTTGCAAATGGATTTACAAAACTAAAAGGCATTCAGATGGTTCAATAGCTTGCTACAAAGCTCGCCTAATGGTACAAGGTTATCGTCAAGAGTATGGTATAATTATACTGAAACTTTCAGTCCAGTGGCGAAATTACCGACTATTCGTCTTTTCATTACTATAGCTGTTCAAAGAAATTGGAAAATGACTCAATTGGATGTCTCAAATACATTTTACATGGGGATTTAGATGAGGTTGTCTATATGCATCAACCACCTAGTTTCAAGAACTCTCAGCACCCAAACTACGTTTATCGATTACATAAGGCAATTTATGGCCTTAAACAATCTCCTTAGCAATGGTTTGCTAAACTTACTACACACTTGCAAACCTTGGGTTTTCGACATAGTGATGTTGATCCCTCTTTACTTGTCTACAATCATAACTCTCATCTCATATATCTCCTAGTATATGTTGATGATGTTTTGCTAACAGGAAACAGCTTGACTGCAATTACTAACTTGCTTCGCAATCTCTACCAACAATTTCAGCTACACAATTTGGGCAATTTAAATTATTTTATGGATATACAAGCGGTTTCAACATCTATAGATTATCATCTTAACCAATCCAAATATGCTTTGGATATTCTATATCGAGCAGTTCTGAAAAATTGTAATCCAGTTGTGACTCCACTTCCTTTAAAATCAGTTTCTAATACTGCTTCATTATCACTATTTGAAAATCCAGAATTTTTTCGACATCTAGTAGGTGTTTTGCAATATTTAACTATAACACGACCAGATTTAGCTTATGCGGTTAATAAGTTGTGCCAATTTATGCATTCTCCTATGCAACATCATTTTCAAGCACTCAAGCACCTACTTCATTATGTTAAAGGAACGATAGAGCTTGGTCTTCCAATCAGCAAGAACTCCTCCACTTTACATGCTTATGTTGATTCAGACTGGGCTGGTGATCCACTAAATAGAAAATCAACAACTGGCTATTGTTTATTTCTTGGAGATAACTCTCCTTTCTTGGTGTGTTAAGAAGCAACCTATGGCTGCTCGTTCTGCAACAGAAGCTGAATATCGTGTGTTAGCTACTGTTGCCACTGATATTATCTGGATTCATCGTCTATTGGCTGATTTTCAATTTTCTATTTCAGCCCCCACGTCTCTTTATTGTGATAATGTTTCGGCTATCTGATACACCTTAGGTTTCACAAATTAGGGTTTGCCCTAATTTCCCCTCCAAGAGAGTGGACTTTCTCCACCAACACCAAATGAGAAAGTAATCACAAAAAGAGTAGAGGAGAACAATGAGAACCTTTGCATTAGCCCATCACTATCATACTTGCTCATAATCCCATATTTCATGCACGTACTAAACATATAGAAGTGGATTACCATTTTATTCGTGATTTCATAAAGTCTGCTGCTATTAATGTTCACCATATCAATACTCAGGATCAAATTGCTGATATTTTCACCAAAGTTGTTCCCCGTATTCGTTTTGCATCTCTTCGAGCCAAGCTCATGGTCTCTCCAGCACCATCAGCTTGCAGGGGGGCTGTTAACATGCTCCGGCAGTCAGCATACCATCAAATCATAACCCACTTGCGGTTACATAGAGTTTGCACGTCCTCCACGATTGGCTTAGGTGGAAGAACAGTTTTTCTAATATTTCGGTTATTCTAGTTTATATATACAAATGTATTGTTCCTCTGTAATGTATGAAAACAAAATAGAAACGTTTGTGGCTTCCAATTCACAGTTTTCCTCTAGTTTGGTTTCTCTCGTTCTTCTTAGTAGCTTAATTTACACACACACGATATGACACAGGACAATGCAAGAGTTCTATATAATTACTAATATAACTTTAATATCAATGAAAATTTTACCTACCAATTTGAATAGATATGTCAATTAATTGTAATAATTGATACAAATAACATCATACTTCTATTAAAATAATAATTTCTTAAATGAACTAATAAATCAATTAGTGGAATAAGTGTAATAGAAGTGTTAATAAATCCAGGCGTGTCATGCAGTCATACCACAGCCTGCTTATGAGCTCACCTTGCACTTGCATTATGCCTTCATTGCTTTGCGCTTCTTTCTCCGTAATTATTCATATGCCACAACTGCTTTGCTTATGGCTTCAATGTTGTAAAATATTTACAAAATTATTACTTCCTTTAGCTGTTGCTATTAGTTTTCAACTAAAACAAGAGAACATATACGAAAATTATTTTTCAACTTATTATCGCTATATTCTGTAGACCCTTAGGGATCGGCAAAGGTATGTCTCAGGGAGAGAGATGAATGGCCGCTTATTATTTTGGAGAAGAACAAAGGCAGAAACAAAAAAAAAGCATACATCTAATCCAAAATCAGTGAACAAGTAGGTTGTTTCCAGCATCCAATTGTTGCTTGTTGAACAAAAGTAAAAACAAATGAGAGATCTTACAATCCAACAAGGAGTCCAAAATTGAGAGCATTCTTAATGTTTTCATTGAGAAAAAAGATCCAGAAGAAGAAAAAATCATCAATAGTAAAACAACTTTTAAGATACTTGTAATTGTTTGATAGATCAATAAGAAACTTCAAGAAAAAATTACTAAAACCTTTATGAATCAATTCTATCCTCTTAGTGTAGACTTATGTCATGACGTTAAGAGGATGGCTATAGATCCATTAACAAATAGGATTCTACTATGTCTCTTTCTCCTCAATGTCCTCATTTAGGTTTTACATCCGATGCATCATCTACACATTTCCCAAATAATGATACTTAATATTGTGGCCGAAACTACAAATGGGTGATTGATTATATGGTTCAATTGCCATATTCTATAGCTTATTTTTTCTTTTTCGTCTTTTGGTGGCTCCACTACTTCAATCGATAGCCCCTCTTGCAGGTGTTTTAAGACTTGAAGGTGTTTCAGAACTTGCAAGTATTGCAAGACTTTAGTTGGTGCTCAAGAGTATACAGTGTTAGTGCTTGTTTCTGTTTTTTATTCTTTTGAGATATATATATATATATATATATATATATATATAAAAATAAGTCTATGATGAATAAATAATACTTTGTATGTACAATTTCTTTTCCATTAATGATTTAAATCCTCGGTCAACTGTACGGCCTAAATATTCTAAGATATGTTATCTTATTTTATGAGCATAAAGCTTACTTATTAGAGACTTATTCTCATTTCCTTCCTTTTTTCACTCCAAATCATTCTACATTATCAGTTGAAATTAGAATTAAATTTTATCAAAGTTTCTGCAATATGATTTTCATATATTTACATAATATTTTACTATGTGACCTCATCATCCCTTTCTTTAAGTTAATTTATAATAGAATCCAAAAGTCGTATTATATAAATTGAATTTCTATCATTGCTGCCTTTCTTTGAAAAGAAAATAAGTATTTTAAGATTTATAGTTCGTTTCCAGCAAATTTTGCACGTTTGTTAAATTGATTTTGCATTTTAATCTAGTTTGGATGGTATATATGAATTAAAAACCTTAGATCCTAGAACATTTTACATCAATAGATCATTTTGTTCGCCGTGTGACCTGATGTTTAATTTGCCATGTGGTCTATGTCACATTGTGTATGTTTTACATAGTCAATCCTTGAAGGTGATGTCATTTCATCACCGGCTAGACAGCCACTCTTCTAAACTGTATCGAATCGACAAAACAGAGTATGTCTTCTTATTCCTGAAGGAAATAAGTGTTTGTAAATGGCATGTTAAATGCAAGGTATTTATTTGACTTTACGTGTATACATAGCCATATATTAGCCTTCTAAATCTAATGCATTGTTGAATAATTTACGAGTATATATAACCATATTTTAGCCTGCTAGATCTAATGCATTGTTAACATATTCAACAGGAATTCCACCTTCAAGTAACATTACTGCTACAACCACAGCAAATAACCTTTTTTTTTTTGTCATCCTGTTTGTATGTGGCATCATTCTGAACCATTGTTACCAATGACATCAATGAGAATGAGAGTCCAATTCTCTTCAGATGCAGCCTACATTAGATGTAAAAATGTTTTTAGCCTACATTAGATGTAAAAATGGAAAAATACAGTAGTTACCGCTTCGACTTCTTCTTCAGCCCTTATAAAACTCGATACTAATTTCCTTGCCTCCTGAACTTCTTCCTCAGGATACCCCTTAAGACGCAGACCTATTTCACGATATTCATCATCTTTCATATTTTCTTTTTCCTCTTCTCTTTTTCGATAAGCATGCCATTCCTGAGTCTTTTCCCTCTGTTGTGCTTGCCATTCCTAGAAAGACAAAAGTCAATTCAACATATTCAATAAGACAACAGGACAGAGGCAACTAGATCAATATATGAGTAAGAAGGTCTTTGTAAACAAATTTTCATTTTTACAAATAACTGTGCATAACAATACTTAAAACAAAACAAAAGCTTAGTTCAAAAGAGAAAAGAATGCAAAAAATAACATTTTACCGGCCTTGGCCTTCAATAATCCAGAAGGTCCGAACTAGTTACCCAATAAGACTCATGAATGAACACAACATAAGAAAAGGCTGGCAATTATATTGAGAAAACAACAGAGTTTTTTTATGAACACTGAAGAAATCTATTATTTAAAAATGTTAATGCCAAAACAATAATGAAAAGGTGGCGTAGAAAGCATTGCCACTCTCATACAAGAGATAGCAAGCATATTTTGGTAAATTAAGCTTTAGGCAGCAGGATATTGCGGTATAATACTTACCAATGAAATTTGTACCATGCCAAGCATTAAAAGAACAAGCGAGAAAAATATGTGAGGTGTTATTAGCTCCGAAGAAGATGCATAAAAAATAAAATCTAAATTAGAAATTAATTAAGATTTGGAAATCTATAAGTGATATTGTGGTGGTTTGAAAATTTTCAAGATAAAATGATGCCAAATGATTTTTGAATTAGCATTTTTTGTGCCAATATTTAAGAACAACAATACTTTTTAGATTTATGATAATTATAGAAAAATCAAACATATTGTGTATAAAATAAAGATGAGAGGGCAATGAAACATATAAGAAAATAATGTAACTATGAGAGAATCAATTTGATTTTATGCCAAAAGTAAAAAATAGACTAGATGGTTAAGGAATGTATAATTAAGGGGCAAAATGCACCACAATACGTATTTATAAAATTAATGTTAAAAGATTAGGAAGGAAAAGGGAATGATCAAGCTCAACAGAGATAAAAGTTGAAAAAAATCATTTGCGTAGAATATATTAAACATCTTATGCAGTATTAAATAACCATAAATAGGGAATGCAATTTCATAATGCCCAGCCCCAAATGTTTGGGATTTTGCTAATGAGATAAAGATGATGACTACCATTGTTTCGGCTCCAATCCATGTATCATAATAAGTACCCAGATCAATTCCAGCACAAACTGGCACATACACGCAAAATAAATAGAAGCGGACCTAATTTAGTGGTGCTTAAAATCCATATCTGGAGGTCTTATTCACCTCCAAACATAGGCGGAAATATTTTCCAGAATGTTAAGCTTCAATGAACCTAATTTCATCATTAGTTCACACATCCAAGTGTCACTCAACTAAGGATTATTGGCTAGAGCTCACATTTGCAACTAATTTCTGCTCTCATTCTCTATGTAGTTTGTGTCCCATGTGATTTTCTGAGAAAGGCCACGTATAAGAAATTTAATTTGAAAGATAAACAGAGAAGCGTTAGAAACATACATCATCAAAAAATTCTTTAGGTATGTCATCATGCTTTTTGAACTCGTCGCTACCATGCCCCTCCTTACTCTTCGGCTTCGCTGCGAGATTTCCCAAGTAAAAGAAATTTGTTGACTTTAACAAAATTATAATAAAATCCTAAACCGAAAAGAAAAAAGGAACTTGGTCCCGGATAAAAATAGCACCTCGAGGGAGTGCAGGTTGAAATTTGGCAGTGTGGGCGGTGTGTAGGAGTTCGATCTGACGCGGGACAAAATGGCGCCTTGAAAGGACAGGTCTCGAGCATATGTGCAATGGTAGAAAGCTGGCCGCCATTTAGATCAGTTGACGGGAATAAACCTCAGGAAAGAATGCAGGTACATAGGAAAGAAGACGTGCATTCCTGCAGCTTGTAGGGTATTTTTTTTTTTTTTTTTTTTGAAATTTTAGGGGCAATTGCCCATATATTGATCATAGAAGGTTACAAGAAAAGTAAACAGTACAACTCAAAAGTAAACAAGAAATTAGGAGCTGTAAACAAAAACCAAAATAAAAGCAATGGAACAAAATTGTCTCATACGGGCTCAGAAATAAAACCAAACAGGAACCCAGGCTTGAAATCACAGGCCAAACAGCTCAAAGCCAAGCAGTCGGAGATAATGCAGCAGCACCCCGGTTGCCGAAGAGAGAATAGAACCCATCCAAGGCAAAGTGCCATCCAAGGAGAAGACCGGTTGCAAGTTGCCAGACAAAAACGAATCAGAGGCCCTCCAGGGGTGCACCAAAAGGGACCTGAAGGTATCATCATTGCCCAGAGACACCCAAAAATCCATTGCTAATCGGTAAATGGGAAGAGAAACAGTCAGGAAAAAAACTCATAAGACTGTCAAGATGCTTCCAGTTCTTAGTCTTGGCAGTAATCGCAAAAACGATTTTGTGATGTAAAGCAGTAGAGGAAGAACGGATCCCAGCGTGCCTCCTGCTATTTCTCTCCCTCCATATAAAGTAAATGAGACAGCAAATGACCAAAAAAGAGAAATTCTTCTCAACAGAACTAAATGTACTCATCTCATCCAAGAACTCAAAAAGTTGCATCAGGGTCGGTCTAAAAAAAAACCCAAATAAGTTCGGAATAAACTCCCTTAAAAGATTGAAAGTAAAATCACACTGGAAAAACAGGTGCAGAATGGATTCATCCTCATAAGAACAGAGAGGGCACTGGGCAGGAATGAAAATATTCCTGGAAGCCAACGTTTCTGCCATTTTCAAACCACCATTTAAAGCTAACCAGGTATAAGCTGAGTATCTAATAGCAAATTTTTTATGCCAAACAAATCTGTGTCAATTCACCACAATTTCTCCCTCAAAATAAAGCAACTTAAAAGTTCTGAAAATCGGTTTGTCTTTCCCCATCCAAGAAATGTTGACAGTATCATCATGTGTTTGGAGAGAATGTATCAGTGTATTAACATTAGGATTAAGGTTTAAGGGGAGACACCAATTGCCATCACAAAGGTAATCAGAAACCGAAGCATAAGACATAGCAGCACCATGAGTGATGTTAGCAATTGAGTTCCCTGACAGCCATGGGTCCCAGTAAAAGGATAGGATACTATTAGAATTGCAAATTTGAAAATTAAGCTTATTCTTAATTTTAGAGGCAACTATAAAAATAGATTTCCAGAATTTGGAGGCATACGAAGTACATTCCCTGTACGGAGAATGATACTTATATCTAAGCCAAGCGGCAGCCAGAGAATTGGCATTGTAGTATCTCCAAAGAAAGGTGCAGGCAAAACCAAATTGCATAGATTGGATGTCAGGGATCCCCAAACCTCCAAAGACAGTTGGTTTACAAGTGCGCTTCCAAGAAATTAAATGCAGTTTTTTGCTAGACGCATTCCCATGATAAAGAAATCTGGCACAATATCTCTCAATGAGCTTACAACACCTCTTTGGTAAAATAGCCCCACGAATCCAATATGCAATGGTATTCGCAATGGTGAACTTTAGGAACTGGATTCTACCTGCAAAAGACAAGAATTTAACTTTCCAACCATCAAGTAGAGTAGAAAGCCTACTAAGTTGTGGAAGGAAGTTAGAAAAAGAGAGTTTTTTTAGGGCAATAGGGAGGCCCAGGTACTTCAAGGCTAAAACAGAAATCTGATAACCCAAAAGATTGGCAATATCAGAATTGAGATGGGTCTCTTTAGAGAAAATAATGGTACATTTGCTATTGTTTATCTTAAGACCCGAAGAAGCAGCAAAATCATCCAGAATAAGGTTGAGGTTTAAAGCATTTGGGAGGTTGGTAGCACCAAAAACCAGGACGTCATCAGCGTAAAGAAGATGACTTAAAGAATTATTCCCAAAAGTGATACCCCTAAAATCACCAGCATCCAGAGTACAAGAGAGAGCATCCATAGCAATGTCAAACAGCAGGGGAGAAAGAGGGCATCCCTGCCGTAGGCCCGAAGTAGAAATGAAGTACCCCTCAAGTTTGCCATTAAGACAAATATAAAAAGGCACGTCATAAATGCAACCATTGACCCATTTAATAAATTGAGGAGGGAACCCCTTGAGTCGCATTCTATGGGAGATGAATTCCCTGGATACCGTATCAAACGCTTTCTTAATGTCAAGTTTGGCGCAAAAGTGATTGATTTTCGAAAAAAGACCCATTTCTCTTAGAATTTCAGATGCAAGAATAACATTATCAGAGGACAATCTGCCTTTAATGAAACCAGCTTGGCTCGGGTGGATAATAATAGGCATGATATCTCTCATACGATTGGCAAGAAGCTTGGCGATAATTTTATAAAAAGTGTTGCAGAGAGAGATAGGTCTAAAATCAGCAATGTGAGTGGCATGGGGTTGTTTAGGAATCAAAACAATGGCTGTGGCTTTAACATAGTCTGGAAGCCTGCCCGAGCTTAAAAAATTTTTAATGGCCTGACAAACATATAACCCAGTGATCTCCCAAGAGCTTTTATAAAACTCAAAAGTGTACCCATCAGGCCCAGGTGAAGAGTTAGGGGCACCGTCAAAAATGACCTTTTTGATCTCAGAATCAGTAATGGGACTAAGGAGAGACTCCAAGAGATTGACAGGTACAATTTTTTCCAATGGGTAATAGAAGAAGAAGTTGGCGTTGGGAGGGGGGGGGGGGGTAGGGGAGGTAAAGATGGCCTTAAAGTGAGTAACCATAGCACTGCCAATCTCAGAAGGAGAAGAAAAAAGCCCATCTGAAGTAGAAATTTCTTTAATAAGATTGATGTTCCCTCTGTTCTTAATCTTAGCATACAAGAAGCTGAGATCATCATCACCATGGGAAAGCCATTTGGTTTTAGCACATTGAATGGTCCAAGAGCACCAAGAAGAGTTATAATGGGAAAGTAAGGTGTTAATGTGCTTCAGATGACCATTCAAGACAGGATCCAGGGGGTTGCAATTAATCAAGCTTAAACATCTCTTCTGATCGGCTTCCAATAAAACCAAAACCTCTTTGATGCTGGAAGAAGAAGCCCAAGATTTCTTCTTAAGAGAATGCTTCAGAATCTTTAATTTGTGGTAGAGGTTGGCAATCGGGCTAGCATTCATATGATTGGCAAAGGCAGTGATGACACTATCCCAATACCCATTCATATGAATCCAGTAATTTTTAAAACGAAATCTACCACCCGAAAATTTATCACAACCATTAAACAGAAGCAAGGGGGAGTGATCTGAACAACCAGGGTTTTCAACTTTATAGAAAGAGTAAGGGTATTTGTTCAACCAATGGTAATTCACCAAAATTCTATCCAACTTGATATGAATGGGGTCTTCAGCTCTTTGATTAAACCAGGTGTAATTAAGGCCAACAGAAGAAAGTTCAAAAGTACCAGAATCGAAAACCCAAGAATTCATTTCGTTCAACTGACTATGGCTCGGGGCGAGGCCACCACTCTTATCCTGAGGGCTTCTATAGTAGTTAAAATCCCCCATAATGATCCAAGGGATGTTGATGTTACTAGCAAGGTTCAAAAGATGATTCCACATAGGAGCTCTGTCAACAGTAGTGTTGGCCGCATAGATGACAGAAAGGAAAAATTGAGAGGAATCTGAAAGAGTAACAATACCATGTATGATGTGTTGAGAAATGTAGGAAGGGTTAAAAGACATTGCATTTGGTTTCCACTTGATCCAAATTCTTCCAAGGGAAGTAGGAGTAGAGTTATTACAGTTTAATTCTTCACCGAAAATTTGATGAGTTTTCTGGAACCAGAGATCAGAGGCAGCAGGATGAGGAGTTTTAGCTTCGAGGATGCAAAGCATGTCAAGATGATGAGAGGCAGCAAAGTTTTTGCAAGGGAACACCTTGTCAAGGCTGTTAAAACCCCTCACATTCCAACAACCAATGAGGGGCAAGGTCATTTCGACTTGGATGACGTTCGCACTTTTTTGGCGCTTTTGGATTTAGAAGGCTTAGAGGTGTTGTTTTTGGATTGGTGATTTTTCTGAGGTGGCTCCTCCTTTTGATGTGAAAGCAGAATCGATGAAGCATCCGATTCATCAATAGCATCCGCATCGTCAGGAGGCTCATCATACTGAAGAATGGTGAATTTGTTTGGGGAGAGGGTGGTGACGGTTTGTTGTGGAGGTAAGAGAAGAGGTGAGTGTTTAGAAAATTTTTGAGGAGGAACATAGGCAATATCAGAGTCCCCTACAAAAGAGGGAGTGTCAGCCTGGGAGGAAGGGTCCATTAGAGGGTTATCAATTGGAGGGGAATTGAGATTTGGTAGAGAATTGGTTACCTCAGGGGTGACCGTAGCCGCTGAGGAGAGAAGCAAAACCGAGGGAATAATAGCTGGAGGAGCAGTCTGAGGATTATTGGCATTTGGCAGGGGCGAGAAAGTGGAGGTATTAGAGGCAGGCAGCAAAGAGTAGGTACCTGCTTGGTTTGTCGGAGGGATATTGGGTTTGTTCAGAAGGGAAGGAGAAGCAGAAGAAGGCAAAGGAGGACGAACTCTGCTCCTGCTACGCCCACAATTTGTCATTTGGTTTTGAGGTTTGGGCATGGGGTTTTTGGGACAATGAGTTGGAGGGTGGACCAGGGAACCACAACCAGAGCAGGGGTTAGGTTTCCAGTCATAGATGACCTTGAGCTGCACATCATCACCATCAAGAGAGATCGGAATTTCTTCGGGGAAGGTCGAAGTGCTCGAAACCATGACGCAGACTCTCGCAAAAGTCAGGCGGGTTTTGCGCGCAGTAAGGGCATCCACCGCCAGAGGGTGGCCAACAAAACTTGCGATTTTGGAAATCCCCAAAGGATTCCAAACTGCCAGAGGCAAATCCACAATTTTAATCCAAATGGGAATGGAAGAAAAATCATCCCTTTTGGGTTGAAATTTAGGATTCCATTTTTTTAGAATAAAAGGCCGCCCGAAGAAAAACCAG